GGTGCACGTGATGTTGATGTGTGTGCCTGCATGTGCGCATGCACGCATGTGCCCAGCACGTTGGCTGGCCAGAACCCCCTGGGCCTCAGGGAGGATGCAGCCATGCCCTAGCAACTGTGGGGTGGGGTCCTGGCTGCTCACCACAGCCCGACCTCAGTGGTCCCAGCATGAGAGAGCTGAGGGGCTCCTCCCGCGGCTCCTCCCCATCCCCCAAATGAGATGATTTGCGGCATTATAAAATCAAAGCCCTGAAACTGTAATTCCTACTCTTGAACAGATCAAAAAGAATCCCAGCCCGAAATTCTTCGATGAATTTATTACAATTAAACCTGTCTTCTATTATGTGTTTCGGTGTGCCAGCCCCCTGGGTCTCCGTAACGTGATGTAATGCATTTCTGGAGCTTTGATCCACTGCCAGGCGTCAGCCCGCGGCCCGCCCCCGCTCTCCACTTGCATCTCGCGTTTCCGTTGCAGGTTTCGGGTACCTGACGAAGCAGCTGATGGGCTTGGCTGGAGGCCGGATTATTCTGGCCCTGGAGGGGGGCCACGACCTCACGGCCATTTGCGACGCCTCGGAAGCATGTGTTTCTGCTTTGCTGGGAAACGAGGTAGGAGGACCAGGAGGCCGCAGCCACTCTATGCACAGGCTCAGGGTGGACCTGGGCTGTTTCACTTCGCTTCTACTCGGTGCTGAATATTCCCTCCCACCCGCACTTAATAGGACTATTATACATTTGACAAAACTGTGATTATGGCCAGAAGGAGATGAGAAAGACAAAAGGATTGTAAGAACGCTTTTCTCTTAAAGTGATGGTTCAGGATCCTATGTTTTAAAGTGCCCACCTTTATGTGTGGGCTACGTGGAGAATATGTTAAGTTCTTGGTGTCCTTCTTCACGGGCAGTCAGTTCCAGGAATTTCTAAGGCACATTCTGGGGGGGGTGTCACTATGCAGGTCGGAGGCTGGGCCTCGGTTCACGGCAGCTCCTGATCAGCAGCCCTGTCTGCTGCTCTGACCCCACAGGTGACACCCAGGGTTAGGGCTCTGTGCTGTATACCACTGAGGCCACAGGGCGAAGTCAGGGAGATGCTGTGGCCTGGCGTGCACAGCCGGAGCGCAAAGGCTCTGGACTGGGAGAGGGAACTTTTGAGGGTTCAAGGGAGTGTTCTGTTCCCCTGTGACATCGGGTGCTGGTGCTCCAGGCAGGAGAGCCACCCCAGCTGTGGATGGACAGGGTGGTGGGAGGGGAGGGGCTGCTGGTGACAGTGTGGTGTCCAGCCTGCTGAGCATCTGAAGTTTATGACACAAAACTGGTTTGTAGCTTTCGTTTTGAATTTCTGAAATGTGCTCTTCCTGAAACTAAATTCACCCACAGGCCTGTGGATATGGGGCCACAGATCTGTGTCCTGACCCCATCAAAGGAACGTGGGGCAGGTTCACATTCCCCTACGGCATGGCTTTCTCTTGTTGCTTGCGGCGGCGTTACCACGTAGTCCTAGAAACAAGCTGGCTGGTGTTGGGGGAGCACAGGCAGAGTGCCCTGGATCACTGGCCCAAGCCGCAGCAGGGAGGTGCCTGGGCCACAAGCTTGCCAGACACAGGGCCTCGAGGGGCACAGGGCCCACATGGGGGACACCTGGAGGCAGCTCGTGAGCTCTGGTCTCATGCCGTACCCTGGGACTCCCCTCCCCCCACCCTATCAGAGAAACGGGGCTTTTCCAGGTTCGCGATGCGCGAGGACACTCTTCTGTAGGGTCGGGCTTACTGGGTGTCCAGTGAGGGTGCCGTCGTCTCTGCACACACCCTCCTGCTGGTCACCACCAAGAGTTGAGGGGAACTGAGTGACAAGGCTCTGACCTAAGGACAGACACACAGTCAGGAGAGCCAGGCCATACCACAAATGCAGCCCTGACCACATATGGTGGGAGGAGGGCATGCGTGGATCCACAGGCCACTTGGGGAGGTCCCGATGTCCAGTCAAGAAGAAGTGGGTGAGAGAGGGGCACAGTCTGAGGAGCGCTGGTGGGGAGGCCAAGGTGGAGACAACCCAAGAGGCCGTCGGGTTACGTTCAGGGCTGCGGGTCAAGGAGGCGCCCGGCACTGCTCAGCCGGCTGGTGTCCTGCTGGTCGGCGCGAGAGGAGAGGCCCCCACCCCAACCTCCTCTCCCTCCTCTCTCTTGGGAGACGCTGAGGCCAAAAGGCCCAGAAGCCCCTGGAAAGGTCTGTGCTATGAGACGGCCTGGCCTGGGAGGCCCCTGTCAGAGCCCGTCTCACGTGCTGTAGACTCGTCCTTGGGGCTCCCTCCCGGACAGCGCCTCACCCTGGGAGGTTCAGAGCTGGCTAGGGCTCCTCCAGGAGGCGAGTCACTGAGAGCCAGGCCTGGCTGTCCCTCAGGCTGCCCTCCTAGACCCCCGTCAGTGAAGCGCAGTAGATGGCGGGGCCCACAAGGCACTTGAAGGCTCTGATGGGAGGTGCGGAGTGGGGCTTCAAGCAGGTCCTTGAAGGTACGTACAGTAGTCCCCCTTATCCGCGGTTTCGCTTTTCACGGTTTCAGTTACCTGTGGTCAGCTGCGGTCCAAAATATTAAATGGAAAATTCCAGAAATAAACTATTTGTAAAGTTTTTATGAAACTTACAAATTCTGAGTAGGATGATGAAGTCTCACGGCTTCCTGCTCCATCCTGCCTGGGACGTGACTCATCCCTTCGTCCAGCGTATCCGTGCTGTAGATGCTACCTGGTAACGTCTTGGTTATCAGATTGGCTGTCACGGTATCGCAGTGCTTATGTTCAAATCACCCTTATTTTACTTAGTAATGGCCCCAAAGCACAAGAGTAGCGATGCTGGCAATTCAGATATGCCAAACAGAAGCCATAAAGAAGCTTTAAGTGAAAAGGTGGAAGTTCTTGACTTAATAAGGAAAACAAAAATCATATGCTGAGGTTGCTAAGATCTATGGTAACTTTTATTACAGTATGTTGTTATAATTGTTCTATTTTATTATTAGATATTGTTGTTAATCTCTTACTGTGCCTAATTCATGAATTAAACATCCTAGGTATGTATATATAGGAAAAAACAGTATATCCAGGGTTCAGTACTGTGCACAGTTTCAGGCATCCACTGGGAGTCTTGGAACGTACCCCCCGCAGATAAGGAGGGACGACTGTATTGAATTTGACTGCATGCAACAAGGTTCGGTGGGACGACAGATTGTAGAAAGGTCTCCAGTGATGTGACGCGGGGCTCTGTCCTTGAGTCATTTCTAGTCAGTGTTGTTGCCTGTCACTTGAGTGAACTAACAGAAGGCACACTGTGGACAGGAGGAGGAAGCGTGGGGCCTGTGCCCCCCAGGCTCAGCGTGGACAGAGCTGACAAGATGGCCTTTGGAGACAAATGTGAGGTCTGCACCCAAGTCCCAGCAGCAGCCGTGCAAGCTGAGAGTTGAGTATGAGGAGGACTTGGTTTGGGGTTAGATCTTCAGGAAGCTCTGCATGTGTCCTCCGTGCAAGACAGCCCAGCGAGGAGAGGAGGGCGGGGCATCCCTGGGGAGTGCGGCGCCTCTCTGCCCCGGGGCCACTCCTGAGGAGGGCAGTGACCAGGTGAGCACAGTCGGAGGACAGCAGTGAGACCCTGCGCATGCCTCCTGGAGCAGCCGCACTCGACGGCTGAGCTCGAGGCTTGAGGGGGCAGTCTAGACCCCTGCACCACGGGCGACAGTAGGACCCCGAGGGCCAGAGTCACCGTGGCCCTGTTCCCTGCGAGGAACTGCCTGTGCAGCCACATGCCCCAGGGCATTCAGAGCCCCAGCTCGTGCCCCCGCCCTCGGTTAGGGAGGTCTGGCCAGCGATGGGGTGGGGGCAGTGGGCTTGGGGTGGGCGCACCTGGGGATGGCTCCCCCTCCCCCTGACAGCCTTTCCTCATCACGCATGGTGATGGTTTTAACCTGAGTCACAAGTGGATCAGCGATCCTGGTGCATCTCGTTTCTGGTCAGCCAGTTAGTGATACGCTTGAATATTCTCAGGTGAAATACCAGTCTGCTTTTTAAAGTGCCCACAGCATTTCACTTATCCTCTCTTCACATAAAACAATCCTTTCCCCCTTTTCTGCTAGAGTTAAAAGACAACTAATTTGTATATTCAAACCATTCTAAAGCTTCTGGACTCTTCGAGCTAGTCATTTTAAAATGACGACAGAGAACTTGGCTTTCAACTAAGGCCTGTTCCTGCTCCCAAAGTGTTTGCTCTTCTAACAAGAAAATGTTCTTTTACTGAAACACATCAAAAAAGCAGGAAGCTCTAGTTTTATCAAGGTCTCTTAAAAATCTTGTTAATGCAAGAAAGTTGGACCGAGCCCCTCTCCCCTGCCCCATGGCCTTTGATGAGAGTGATGTACGGCGTGCTGGAGGGTTTGGCACGCACACACAGGGGCGGCCAGCTGTGGACAGCGGCGAGCTGCAGGGGGCTCTGCTGCCTGGGGCAGGACAGCTGAACCATAGAGGTGGGGGAGCGGAGCAGCAGCAGGCCACAGCAGCTGCCCCAAGAGAGCACTGTGTCTGAGGTCAGCCATGCTCCTAGGAGCCGTTATTTAAGAGTTTCAGCTTTAAGTTATTTGCAGCTATCGGTGACAGTTGACAATGAAATATCATTTAAACGTATTACACAGTGTGGTGTGGACAGAAGTACAGGAGGTCCAGTGGCTGGGGTGCTGGGGCGAGCCGTGTCCAGCTTCCGGCAGAGAGGGGCTTCCCAGGCAGGTGGGGGCGGGCGCTTCTCATGTCAAACGTCACCCCAAAGGCAAGGTTTCGTTTGGGCCCATTTTCTCTTGAGTCACGTGGCATTTCAGGGCTGAATGCTGCCATTTCATCCCACCCCCTCCTAGATGAGTCGAGGATTCCATGAGCCTGCAGCCTTGGGAGAAAAGGTTTCATTCAGGAGTTGAGCTCCTCTGTTACGTTCATATACTTTGTGAAAGGTGTGCATGTGAAAAAGCTGAGTGATTAAAAACAACAGTTGTGTGTGTGAGAGAGACACGGAATCACTCAGTCTGAGGACGACTTGTCTGCTTCCAGCCAGGCTCTCCCTCCCTCTCTCTCGCACGCACACGCTCACACACTCCCGGTCATGCTCACCTCAGGCCAGCAGTGGCACACCCGCTGCCTGCAGCTGGTGGAGGGCGCGGGGTCCGAGTGCATGTGTTCCTAGCTGAGGGCCACGAGTCGCCTCTCCCTCCGGCCAGTCTCCTAGATCCTTGCTGACCGACATTCGGGAAGGTGGGCCTCGCCCCATCCTTAAGTGGACGGAGCTGTGCCTGCACACAGCTAGACCGTCCTCCTGGCCTGTCCTCTAGTCACAGTGGGATGCAGGAGCTGACCTTCCAGCCCGCTGTGTAAGACGAGGGTGAGAGAGTTACCTTGGTCGCCAGCCGCCTGGCTCAGCAAAGGGCAGCTCTAGAGCAGGATGTCCTCCTGGGTCCGGACGCACTTGGGCCTGTGTTCCCACCTGTCCAGCAGGTTTCAATACATCGGGCACTGACCACCAAGCTCCCACTGTGGGGCCCAGGCCGCAGAAACCCCTGTGTTCACAGCACTCAGCTTTTGTGGTTGAT